GCATAGGGATACATTGGGATGCATAGGGATACATTGGGATGCATAGGGATACATTGGGATGCATAGGGATACATTGGGATGCATAGGGATACATTGGGATGCATAGGGATACATTGGGATACATAGGGATACATTGGGATGCATAGGGATACATTGGGATGCATAGGGATACATTGGGATGCATAGGGATACATTGGGATACATAGGGATACATAGGGATGTATAGGGATACATTGGGATGCATAGGGATGCATAGGGATACATTGGGATGCATAGGGATGCATAGGGTTACATAGAGATACATAGGGATACATTGGGATGCATAGGGATACATAGGGATACATTGGGATACATAGGGATACATTGGGATGCATAGGGATACATTGGGATACATAGGGATACATTGGAATGCATTTTGGGTCCGGAAACAGTCTGGTCCGGTCTGGAGGTGGTGTGAATGGGCCCTGAGCGCTTGTTCACACCATGTCCGGATCATGTCCAAACCGGAACAGTTTGTTCCCGGACCAACAAAGCATCCCAATGTATCCCTATAGTGATTGTCACTCATCCTCATAGTTGGAGCCGACGTGTGACAATGAAACTGTCACACGTCGGCTCAATAGATCGGGAAGTGAGCGAACACATACCATAACTCACTGAAAGCGCATCAAAAATGCATGTACGTGTGTTTTTCATGTGCTTCCATTGAAGCCTACGGGGCCACAAATGCACTACGCATGACCCATTGGAGCACCAGCACCTTTCCAAAAATCACCCTGCACCATGTGACATTCATGTGAACAGGTACCATTAAAAAAAGAACGCCAAGGTTTGTTAAAACCAACCATTGCAGCGGGGCTAGTCCGGCACTGCAAGGGTTAAGTGCTCATTTTGGCTTAGGGATGAAAACAAAGCAGATATACTCGCTCGATCCTCGTTCCCGCCTGCCTGCTAGACCGGTCCAACCAGCCTGTTCTCCCCTAGGCTCCAGAGGTCTGAGGACCCGTGATGTCACCACGTGCAATGCAGGAACATACTTTCTTTATCTCTGCCCCTAGACCAAAACGAGCGCTTACTCCTGCACTGCAAGGGTTACATTTTACGAATCCTTCTTTAAGCATCACGTGATTTTCATGGCCGCGCGGTGCAGAGCCTCGGCAGACGCAGAACAAATCACACTAGCGTGAACGACGGGGGGGTGTCTGTGCCTCCGTACAGACCTGGGCTGCCATGGCTAAACAACGCAGGAGCTTGTGCACGTGCAACGCTCTGCAGCTATCCATGCAAAAATGTGAGAACGCACAACTGTTTTGTTTTTTAATGAATGTGACATTTTTTGTAAAAGGTAGACTACGCCTTTAACGCTCGAGCGGAGCAATAAATCTCTAATGACGGAACCCTGTGCTACATTATGACTTATTCAAGGTCAGGGAGGGGAGAGCCTGCAGGTTTATACATGCCGAGAGCATTGCAAGCTGCCAAGGCCGCACACACACACAACCTCTGCTGTCTTGTTTTCAGTCTTCCTCCTCGCATGCAATGGGTGGCCATAGCCTATCAGCCAGCTCTATAACATGCAGGCCTGTCCTGCAGAAGTGTTATCCCAGCTGGCCCTGTTAGTGCACAGGAGTAGGAGGAGGGGGCCCGCCCGCTGTCTGCTGACTGCACCGCTACCTGTCCTGCAAGACTCCTCATCCCTTCTAATGTGTTTAAAGTCAGCGTGTCCTGGGATTGGTCTGGCGTGTCAGCGGCTCACTTGAAGGATTATTGAGTGTAGCAGGAACAGCAGGTGCCGGGGGAATATATTAAGCTGCAGACATAAAGGGCAAGGGCTGGTTTTATTTTTACTCCTGTTTGGCGAAAGCTGACCTTTTCCCCGCTGGTGAGGGGGAGCTGCTGCCGGCTGCTTGTCGCCTAAGGTCATATGCACGGAACACAATGGAGGGAAACAACAAAATGCTGGAAGACAAGGCCTCCAGGATCCCAGGTGAGCCCCCGAGAACCCTCTTTTGTATGTGTGTGTATCGGTGACCCCCGATATTGTGCTGTTGTTGTCTGGCCTACTGTGCAAAAGTGTCTGTCTGAGAAACCTGCTATATACTGAGCATAGGGTGAGCCAGGTGTTGCCCATAGCAACCGATTAGTGAGTCACTTTTGGCAACCGTCTGTAGAAAAACTAATGGCAAACTGGATTGGGGTGCTACAGGGATTGTTTGCGTGCAAATGGTCATGGGATGAGATATGCGAGTCATTTTAAAAACTGTTTGTTTACCTCCATTAGGCCTACTTGGCAAAGTTATACCGGAGACCTGAATGTATTTACCCCCCCCCCCCCCGCTGGGCGCCCCCCCGCACGCCAGCC